ATTCTTAGTGCATTTCAACCCAGAGATTCCATTGCATGAATGGAGGATGGGCCAAAAAATAGAATCCCTGCCTCCAGAATCACTTTTTGAGGACTCTGATTTAGTAGAGGGCATTCTGGGGCAGGATAAGAAATACTGAAATCTTGCTCTTTCTATGAAGCAAGTCCTCTCACTGGATCTGGGCTAGAGGGAACCCTGAGGGTTTGGCTGCTGTACCTGTGCAGTGCAGTTTCCATTCTGCTGAATGGTGTGAGCATGGAAGGTGGGGTCTCGATTCACAGCTTTTCCTCTTCTGTAGATGTTTACTCATTTGTTGTTTGTCCTTAAGACCATTGCCAAAGCCTTACATTATTATTATTATTATTTTTTAAACTGAGCTTTGTGTCAAAGGAGCATGTTGGAATGTGGTTCCAGGTAGTTTCAGAAATGTTGGATTTCTTATTTCTAGTTAATATTTGTGATCTAGATTTGGTTTTGGGTCACTTTTAAAAATTATTAGTTATATTTCATCTACTACTATCATGTGGTTGAAGTAGTGTTGGTGCTTGGGAGCTTAGCCTTTGCTGTGCATTTTTATTTAAAATTAGAATTAGTTTTTCACGCCTTAAAAACTCACTATTGTCTCAAAGAGGAATCTGAGTACCAGTGAATGAACAGGTAAAGACCATGTGAAAGGACACCTGTGGGGTCTAGTGACAGCGAAACTGAAACAGAATTTGCCTTTTCATAATTGCTTGATAAATGGCAACATTGCTGACTCTTGGCTATTCATCATAATTGAATTCTTCCACTTTCTCCACAATGGACATTTCAGTTCCCAAATGCCAACTTGTGGTAGACACTCTGGGGTGGTTCCCATCAGGGTCACATTCATACTTTCGTTGGATGCTTTTTCTCTGAGCATGGGTGGGATGAGTGATGATTTAACCATTAGAATTTTCTAGAGATGACAGGATATATGTGGTTAACTATACATAATTGTGACAGTGAGATGGCTCAGTAGACAAAGGCATTTGCTGATGACTCCAGTTTAATGCCTGAGATTCTCTTATATTGTCCTCTGACCTCAACACACCAACTATCACATGCACATGCCCAGCATATATGCACACAATAAATGAATAAATATACACTGCTGTTAGAAAAGACTAAAACATTGATCTTACATGAAGACTCCTTCTTTGTGGACTCTGAGGAAGAAAAAGACCATTTAGGGAAGATTCAAATGGCAAGAAACTGACAACAGCCTTTGACCAGTAGCTGGCAGGAAACTGAGGCCATCTGTCTAGCAGCCTGCAAAGTGATGAGTATTGCCAACAGCCACACGACCTTGGAAGTGGATTTGTCCACACTGAAGCTTCAGTGAACCTTCATCACAGCCTTCTAATAGCACAGCAAACAGCCCAGAAAAACGTGCTCAGGCAGTTGACCAGCAGTGACTTTGACATAATAGATGTATTGTTTTAATTGACTAAATTCTGGTATTGATTGCAGCATAAGGGACTAATGCAGATTTTTTTGTTCCTGAAACTAATCATTGTTTGCTACGATATTTATGTTTTGTTTTATTCATTTTTACATGCATTTATTTGCAAGTGTTTATGTATGTATGTGTGTGCTATAGTGGGCAGCTGGGAGTCAGAGGACAACTTACAGGGCTTGGTTTTCTCTTTCCACTGTGCACAGTACAGGAATCAAACTTAAAGTTGTCAAGTTTGATAACAAAGCAAACACCCTTACCTGACACTGGTACTTCTTTTAAAGGAGCATCTTACCATGTATTCCATACTGTCCTTCAACTCCCTGTCTTTCTGCTTCAGCCAATGGGGTGTTTGAATTATAGATGTATAACACCACACCCAGCTTCATTACAATATTTTGCTTGGTGGATACTTTAGGCTCTTTGGATCCTTGAAGAAAGTTTGATATTTTACTAATGGTGGTTTGAATGAGATGGGTCCCCATGGGCTCATACATTTAAATGGTTTGTCCCTAGTTGATGGACTATTTAGGGAACAATTAAGAGGTGTGGCCTCTTTTGGAGCAGGTGTGTCCCTATGGATAGGCTTTGGGGTTTCAAGATCTATGCCAGCCAATAACTAAGACAGTGACTTTGAATGTATTTCTCACAGGTAAAGCATATCTTTTCACTTACTGTGTAGAACCATGCTGACTATACTATTTTTACAGTTTTCTGCTCAAATTCAAGAACTCATGTGTCATGTTAAGAAGGACTGTCAAAAGAAAGTCCCAATGCAGATTATGTTTAAATAGTGGTAATAATCTAATATAAAATTTATACTAACCAGTTTGAATAGATTCAGTTGTATTAACTATATTCATTGCTGTAATGACTACAAAACTGTTTCAACTTAACCAGTCTGGAACTCTTCATTCATTAAACACAAACTCCCTTTCTCCTTTCCCCATCCATAAAAAACCATTACTCTTTTATATTAATCTGACTAGTCTAGAAAATTCATGTAAGTGGAATCACACAGCACTTATTTTTTAATATTTAAAAATTATTTTTATGTATGGATGTTTTTGCCTTCATGTCTGTATGTGTACAATATGCATTCAGTGACCACAGGGGCAAGAAGGGGGCATCAGATCCCCTGGGACTGGAGGTACAGAGGATTTTAATCTGCAATATGGGTGTTAGGGGTTAAAGTCTGTTCCTCTATAAGAGCATCAAGTGCTCTTATACACTTAGACATCTCTCCAGCTCCATGGTGTTATCTAAGTTCCTGGCTTATTGAATTTTTGACTGTAGCATATTTTCCTTGCATTTAACTGTAATGTTATATGTGGCACAATTTACTTCTTTTCTAAAGGCTATTTTTATTATAAAATTGTTCAAGGATAAAGAAAGAAAAGATGATGATAACCTACCTGAACACCATTTTGGTCTGGGAACATAGGAACATCATTATGCTATGAGTAAGCACATATTTAGTAGAGAAAAACAAACTTTTCCTATTTGTTTTTTTGGCGGGAGGGAGGCAGTGGTTTTGAGACAGGGTTTCTCTGTGACTTTGGAGGCTATCCTGGAATTAGCACTTGAAGACTAGTCTGGTCTGGAACTCACAAATCGCCTACCTCTACCTCCTGAGTGCTGGGATTAAAGGTATTCGCCACCACTGCCTGGCTTAACTTTTCCTATTCTTTAGTTGGTATTCCTACAAGAATGATTATAGAGATAATAAATATACAATATATGAAATAGACATAATTAAAATCTAATTCATACTATTTCTATAGAGAAACTGCTGAACCAATAATAAAATAGAAAATTCTATATTATATAAAAAAACAATTCCACAGAACATAGCTGACTCTACTTTTTTAACAGGCATCTGAGGAGTTACAAAGTGTTAGGTTTCAATCCTGTTGTCAACTCATACAAATGCAAAACTGAATATGAGAGACACTGCTTCAAAATGCTACTTATCATATTCTTAAAAACATTGAAAGTCAAAATTATCTGACAGATCAATCACATAATTTAACATTCCCAATTATAGACCATTCAGAATTTATCACTATAGCAATTTCAATGATCAAGCACAGAAGGGAATTCAGTTGCAGTTTTCTCTCATCTCATTTTCCCTTTCAAATGACAGTCACAGAATATTATTAAGTTGTTTCTCAGGATTGCTCTCCAAATGCATAGATGCAGAAAAACAGCTTTAAATGGTCACCTTAATAGAGACAACTGACATGTGAACTGCTATAACATTTTATTTGGGTCAATTTATTTTTATTTTGGCTTTTCAGTTATTGTCTACTGTACTATAGTTATGTAGACTAATGCATATAGTTATGTAGACTATCAGCTAGCTGGAGGAACAATTAACTCTTGCTTTACACTGAGTTTTCTTTTTACTATTTACATGTAAGATTAAATGGAATGTTCATTTTTTTCATAAAACTGTCTAATTTTTAAAAGACTTCCATAGAATTAAAAAGAAATACTTGAAGCATATTTGAAAATACTTGCTTCACAATATCCAGGTCAACTAAAAGTACATAAAGATATGTTGCATTCTTCTATGTTGCATTTGTTTAACTCTGTGAAGCTGTATTACTTTGACAGCTTAAAACACCTTACTGGTCCAATAAAGAACTGAATGGCCAATAATAAGGCAGGACAAAGGACAGGAGGGGCTGGCAGGCAGAGAGATTAAATAGAAGGAAAAAAAGACGGATCAAAAAACAAGGGAGATGAAGGAGGGAGAGAAGAAGGTGTCAATCACCCAGTCATATAGCCAGCCATGTAGTAAGAGTGAGAGTAAGATTACAGAAGAAAAGGAAAAAGCCCTAGGCAAAAGGTAGATGGGATAATGTAGGTTAAGAAAAGCAGGCTAAAAACAAGCCAAACTAAGGCCAGGCATTCATAAGTAAGAAAAAGCCTTCATGTATTTATTTGGGAGCTGGGTGGCCAGCCCTCCACAAAAGGGTAAAACAAACAAACAAATGATGGGTATTGTAGATAGTGAAGGGTAGAGAAAGATAACTTTTGAATGTTATTTTGAAATAAATATGGTTTTTGGTTGGAAAAAATTACCATTTTGGCTTGAGCCAAAGGATGGCATGAGTTTCCTGAATTGGAGCCACTGGTACAGGAGGTGAAAGCACATGAGTGGAAGGAGATTTAGGAGGAGAGCAACAACTGTCACAAAGCAACCATAAGCCCGAAGTTAACAGTGCTAGAGACTGCCTTCTTGTGGTTATGATTAGGATAAAGAGGAAGAGGTTATGTGGGAAGGGGAGTGGGTCCCATCAGGAGTATTAAAGACAATTAAGATCTGTTCTTGGGCTACAGCTACCAAATCAAATTGGATGTTTCAGATGACTTCCAGGGTAGGGGTGGGGCTTCAATCAACTTAACATCCAAATATTGTATAAGAAGTCCCCAGAGAAAATATTCTCAAACATTTTTCCTGTTGTCATAGATACTTCATACTGAAGGGAAGTAAAAGAAAAATAAAACACAATTCAAAGGGAACACGAGATGGCAGTAGTTTTTATCATTTTATCATATAAGGAGAAAGGCTTGGAAAGAAAAACACTTGAAATTATCTTTAAATTAAAAACCACGGAGCCTCTTTTTTCCTTATGTTCTGTGTTCCTTTTCAGTACAGCAACTCTGTGGTGACGGGTGCACTCTGTGGCACGTGTGAGGTTCCTGTGACTGTGGTGAAAGTCTCCATCACATGAGGCTGTTTCCTAAAATAAAGCTGTTGCCATTTTCTGCAGATTACAGTTTGTCTGTGCTGTCTAATGGAGAAGAGTCCTGTAGGCTACAAATTTGTTTTAAATGTTCCAGCATCATTTTGTCTTTCTCTTCCAGAGTTTCATCTTTCCTCATTTCCCATCTAAAAGAAAAAAAAATAAAATCAGCATTTTTATAACTTTCAACCAATAATCATTTATTCAAGGCCTGGATAGATAGTCAATGGTTTATTGAAGTATCAGTTTTCCTTGTTTATTCTCTGCTGACAGCCTCTTGGGCAAAAGTTCATTGGCACTACTTCAGGGAGAGTGGGAGAGGAAACTAACAAGTGAATATTACATTTTAAAGTATTGTGTCAAACGAGGTTTCTGTATTTTCCAGATTTAAAACTGTATATAATATACTTCCTTCAGTATAGAATGTATAAATGGCTACAAATCACAGGGAAGTTTGTAGTGGGTTTGTAGTATAAGACGACATTAACTGAAATGGCACACCCTAGACTGGGAATAATCAAGTTAATACCCAAGAAAACCAAGATTAACATGTTTCTATAAAACATTCATTTGAATTCTTTCTAATCCTGGACAATTAGGCACTATAGACAATCTATAAGAGCCTATATAAATATATATAGCATTACAATATAAATATAACAACCTAAGCATGCTTACTGATTATTTCCTTGAATACTAACACAAAGAAGCTCCTGACTTGCCAGGGCACACTGCATCTAGAATGCCAAAAGGGAGGAAATCTTTTATCCAGTCCCTTTTGTGTTCTTCTTTAGTTTTTCTACCAGTGGTTGAGCTACCTTCTACATCCTAGTAGCCATGCTGTCAAGGGCAATGGACAAGCAACTCCTCACTGAACGTTGTCCTTCTGTGCTTTTAGAGTCAGAGACTCCACTTAACAAACAGCCGCAACACACAGTGCGTGAGTGCAGGATGCAGCTTTCTGTTTTCTTTGGCCAGTGATGAGCAGTAACTTTCATGTCAGAAGCAAGGGAGCTTACAGAGAAAGGGGACTTTGGAGACATCACACCAGTGGTCATTTCCATTCCTTCTTCACCATTTACCAAGGCTTTTTCTCACCTTCTAGGTCCAATCTTGTGTGGATCTAAACACTACCTAATCTGAGGTATCTTTAAGTTCTCCACCTGATCCCTCATGGTTGGAATTAAAATTCACCATCTATGTGAATTTTAAAATAATTTGAAGAAGAAATAATTTCACTACTATGTAGAGTATAAGGGTCAGTGAAAGAAACACACCCTGACCCTGAAACCAGAGCCAAAGAAACACACTCTGCCCCTAACCAACTCAGCAGGAAAACCAACCAATCCCTGAGCACAAATCCAACAAATCCCTGAGCATGAAATCCAGCAAATCTTTGAGCTTCTCCGACTCTGGAATTGAAATCCAACCAATTCCAACCCTGAAAATCTTCACCCTGGAAAAACTCCACCCCTAAGAAACCCTATACAAGCCCTGTGACTGGTCAGTTGACTGCTGCCTTTTTCCACCCTGGCAGAAACATCCACTCTCCTGAATTTCTCTCTCCCTATACATCTCTTGAATGAGATTTGGGTCATGACCCTCTCTCACCAAATTGTAGCAGAGAAGTAACAATGTTCACCAGAGCAGGAGCAGAGCTGCTACATTACTGCAGAGAAAGCATGCCCTGTGGGAATAGAGCTGTAGGTATAGCTTGGCTTCCGATGGCCAAAATACCTTTCCCTTCAGAGCTGTTGCTGAAGGGAAAGCCAATGTTGCTGAAAAAATCACATCTTATGAGAAAATACTCCTAAAAACCACATATGTAAGGATTACAATTTATCCCACAAGACCACCTGGTACTACTTTAATGGAAGTTTAGTTTTATATTGTTTATTTTGTTTATTAAATGCTTGTAGATGGCATCTTGTCAGTATTCCAAGATGGCCTGGAGCCGTCTTCTTTTAAAAATGTAACTTATTTGTTTTTATTGTATGAATGTTTTACTTGCATGTGTTTCTGCTTGACACATGTTTGCCTGGTCCCTGTGGAGGTCAAAAGTGGGCATCAGATGCCCCCAAAAAGGAGTTACAGGTGACTGTGAGCCACTTTGTAGATGCTAGTAATTGAACCCAGGGACTCTGCAAGAGCAGCTAGTGTTCTTACTAGCTGAGCCATCAATCCAGCCCCCGCCTTGACTTAGAACCTTTGATACCCTTGCCCCACCATCCTCAGTGTTGGGATTATAGGTGTGCACCACCACTCCTCACATAGAATTTTAATGTTAAAACATGTCCACTACCTACTTCATAAAAGTGTACTGGGATATTATTAGCACGTCTATTACATTGAACTCCATGATGGTCAGATAAAAATGGAAAAGTTATATAGCACTAGCTATGGGTTGTTTTAAACACTTTATATGCTCCTTTTTAAGTTCTTCAAATATTAGTATTTTAATTCTATGAATGAGAATGAACTGAGGCAAACAAAGTTAAAGTTACTTGCCCAAGTAATTTTAGATGTGAACTATAGAAATTGTGTTGATTTATGGTATGTCAAGCATGTCTATGATATTAAGACAATTTTATAGGTATCACCATTTAATCTTTAAATTATCTGTGGCATGGGTAGGTGACATGGCTCTGTGGATAAAGGCACTTCCCACCAAACCAGACAAACTGAGTTAGATTCTTAGGGCTTACATGGATGAAGGAGAACTGACTCCTGAATGTTATCCTCTGACCTCCACATATGCCATGTGACACCTCACAGACACATACCTCCCACACACACACTCACACACACAGACACACATACACACATACACACACTCACATACACACACATACACACACACACACACACACACACACACACATACACACACACGAACACACACACACACACACACACACTCACACACAGACACACAATGTAGGAAGAAATAATGACAAATGATAAAGATGTTATATATTATACTTTCCTTATTATTTTATTCTTGTTAAACAAAAGTACTTGAAATATTTGTCATAAGCATGCTACATTTCATACTCAAAACCTGCTAAGAGAAGTTTATCTGTATCTGCTAATACAATGCAAAATGAAATCATTTTGTCAAAAGAATTGCCAGGAGAGAAACAGATCTACCAATTTGTCAAATACCAATGCACAATACGTCCCAAATCTTTATCTGTAGTTTCTCCTAATACAATAAGTATCTATGATAGAAGTATTTCCCAATAGAAATAAGAAGCTATCAAACCAGTGTATTCTAACCCTCACTGAAAAGCTTTATAGTAAATATGTGGTAAATCTATTTCTGTTCATCCTGACTTGGTAGCCTGCTTCTTGTACTATTGCTGAATCCCCTGCCTGCCTACTATTGTTTAAGACATTCAATATTGCCCCCACTTTGCTGTGCCTTATATATTGATGAGCAGTAGAATTCCATAAGACCCCACTGAATCTACGTAAGTACCACTACCTTTTAGAAGATGTCCTATCCATATATCTCCTGGGGTGAGTGAAATAGAGAATCTCAGGCATCTTTGACTATGGGCCCTTAAAACCTTTGCTGAGTTATTCCACAGTGTCAGTAGTCACAACCTGTGCATAAATCAGCTCTATTCTGGTTGACTTGAGTGGTTTACTAAGCCTTTGCACAATCCTCCTACCTTCATATAGTTATAGCAGGACCAATTATTATGTGTGCTTGCTATTCCAAGCACCCTAACATCAGCTATTGCTTAGGGTTTTTGAAAGCATCAGACCCTGGGCTCAGTATTTTATATTCCTTTCAGTTTAATGGGCAATACCTAGTTTATGGCCCCTATAACAGTTAAGACATGGTAAATAAAAGTCACACATCAGTGACTAGCTGTTCTAGAGATTGGTTTTGAGGAATCTTGCATTGGGGAGGACTTCTGTGTGTCAGAGCCAAAGGGGAGAGCTGTGCTTGGGGACATGGTTAATCATGACAAAGGTCAATGGTAACATCAGTCCATGTGACCAAAGATGCAAGTCCTGTAGGATCTTTAGGTAGGAAAGAGAAACTGGCACCAGACAGATGAAGAGGACCATGGTCTGGGGTTTAAGAAGTTTCTGAGACATAGTCAGCTCTTGACAGAAGAAAATCAGCTAAAACCTGTAAAATCATTTGTTTCTCAAATACGGGCCTAAACCCTGAGTTCACTCTGACTTTGGAGCCTACTGCTTTCTAGTTGAGTCTTCTCAGAGGAATTTCTGAACCTCTCTGTCTCACTGTTTTATCTGTACCAGAAGAGTTTGAGTGGAATCCAGCCATGTGCACTTTTATCTGTGTCCTCCATGACTAATCCCACGCAGCAGAGTTTATAGTAGCTGTGATGCAGACCACCAAGACATCACATCCCACAAGACCTAGAATTCTTACTATTTGGACTTTTCACAAAGAAGTTTTGACATTCTGAGTTCTGGAAAGGCCCTTGTAACTGGTGAAGACTATTTAGTGGTTCTAGTGGGACCCCAGGGACCAAGATGGAAAATGACTTTCATACCCAGCAATCCTGCACAGTGAAGTTGTGTCCTCCCAAAGTGTTCCCAGTACCCCTGATGAGAAACATCTGTTCTTGAAGTCCCAACCACATTAAATAGTAACCAGAATATTAAAAAAGTAAGAATCCATATATAATTTCTCATTTTAAATGAAATTGCTTAAGTGTCTGACTCTCAGAATGCTTTTTGCTGAAGAGAGTTTAGGAGGCAGGGTGCGGTCTGAATTTGAACCCTTATAAGCTGTGTGAACTTGAGCAGAATGAACCTCACAGACATGCAATGATGTTGCAATAAGAAACATGCATAAGACAAAATAACACCTTGTTCCTAGCAAGCACCCAGTGAACGACACATTTTTTGTTGCCCCCAGGTTTCTGTTATTTGGTTATGGTTGCAAGTAGGGACAGATGTGACTGTGGTAGGTCTTACTTTTCTCGCTTCCCCAGAGGGAAGTGACTGCAGCTGCAGCTGCTGGTTAAGTAGACCCACGAAAGAGCTGCTGTCATAGTGTTTTTCTTTTCTCTTACATCACATCATGGTCCCTAGATGGCTGTGGTGACATCAGCCAGCCATGTTTAGAGGCCGGAAGAAGGAGAAAGAACACATCTGT